CAGCTCATGGTGGAGATTGAACTCAGCTCATGGTGGTTTAACCTTTCCAGCCATTATTTGGGTGTGCGCCCCTTTTTCTATTCCCCCTTCAAAGTTTTCCTTTCAGCTCAGCACAGAGAATTATTCTTGTCACAGGTGATGGGGCGCTGACTAAGAACCATGAGAAGAGTCTTCAGCTGGAAGGACTGGAACAAATGGCTCCATGTGGGATGTTACTGGGAAGATCTGAAGGGCATATTTCCCAGAATCCTGAGCAGGGAGAGACCTGTAAGAGTCAGCATAGCCCACAAAGGCAGCAGGAAAACCATCCAGAGAAGGCACAGGGTAAATCCAATCATAGGAGCAGAGGGGTGAAAAGAAACACAGCAACTGTTCAACAGGAAATCCCCCATCAACAAGCTCCCTGTGCTTACCGTGACTGTCCAACTCTTATTGACCATCAAAGAACCTACACAGGAGAGAAGCCCTTCAAATGCTCCGACTGTGGGAAATGCTTCAGTCAGAGCTCAGACCTAATTAAACATCACCGAATCCACACAGGAGAGAAACCCTACAGCTGTTCTGACTGTGGGAAAAGCTTCAGTGAGAGGTCATACCTTGTTAGACACAGGAAAATCCACACAGTGGAGAAGCCCTTCCATTGCTCTGACTGTGGGAAAAGCTTCAGTAGGACCACATATCTTGTTAGACATAGGAGAATCCACACAGGAAAGAAACCCTTTTACTGCTCTAACTGTGGGAAAAGCTTCAGGAGGAGTTCACATCTCGTTAGACATCAGAGAACCCACACAGGAGAGAAATGTTTCATCTGCTGTGACTGTGGGAAAAGCTTCAGTGACAAACCAGACATTCTTAGGCATAGGAGAATCCACACAGGAGAGAAACCTTTCAGCTGCTCTGACTGTGGGAAAACCTTTGGGAGGCGCTCCAGTCTTCTAAGTCATAAGAGAATCCACACTGGGGAGAAACCCTTCAGCTGCATTGAGTGTGGGAAAAACTTCAGTAGGCGCTCAAGTCTTCTTAGTCATGAGAGAACCCATGCAGGGGAGAAACCTTTTAGCTGCTCTGACTGTGGGAAAAGCTTCAGTAGGAGTTCACATCTCATTAGACATCAGAGAACCCACACAGGAGAGAAACGTTTCATCTGCTGTGATTGTGGGAAAAGCTTCAGTGAGAAGTCAGACCTTCTTAGACATAGGAGAATCCACACAGGGGAGAAGCCCTTTGATTGCTCTGACTGTGGAAAAAGCTTCAGTGTGAGGTCAGACCTTCTTAGACATAGGAGAATCCACACAGGGGAGAAGCCCTTTGATTGCTCTGACTGTGGAAAAAGCTTCAGTGTGAGGTCAGACCTTCTTAGACATAGGAGAATCCACACAGGGGAGAAGCCCTTTGATTGCTCTGACTGTGGAAAAAGCTTCAGTGTGAGGTCAGACCTTCTTAGACATAGGAGAATCCACACAGGGGAGAAGCCCTTTGATTGCTCTGACTGTGGAAAAAGCTTCAGTGTGAGGTCAGACCTTCTTAGACATAGGAGAATCCACACAGGGGAGAAGCCCTTTGATTGCTCTGACTGTGGAAAAAGCTTCAGTGTGAGGTCAGACCTTCTTAGACATAGGAGAATCCACACAGGGGAGAAGCCCTTTGATTGCTCTGACTGTGGAAAAAGCTTCAGTGTGAGGTCAGACCTTCTTAGACATAGGAGAATCCACACAGGGGAGAAGCCCTTTGATTGCTCTGACTGTGGAAAAAGCTTCAGTGTGAGGTCAGACCTTCTTAGACATAGGAGAATCCACACAGGGGAGAAGCCCTTTGATTGCTCTGACTGTGGAAAAAGCTTCAGTGTGAGGTCAGACCTTCTTAGACATAGGAGAATCCACACAGGGGAGAAGCCCTTTGATTGCTCTGACTGTGGAAAAAGCTTCAGTGTGAGGTCAGACCTTCTTAGACATAGGAGAATCCACACAGGGGAGAAGCCCTTTGATTGCTCTGACTGTGGAAAAAGCTTCAGTGTGAGGTCAGACCTTCTTAGACATAGGAGAATCCACACAGGGGAGAAGCTCTTTGATTGCTCCAATAGTGGGAAAAGCTTGTCAGCACTCAACTCTTAAAAATCATCGTACAGTTCACACAGGAGAATCATAGACTCATTAAACCATAGAACACTAGAATGGAAAGGGACATTGAGAGGTTATCAAATCCTCTTTCCTGTCATCACAGCAGGACCAAGCACCATCTTCATCATCCCTCATAGATGTCTGTCTAACCTGCTCTTAAATATCTCCAGTGATGGGGATTCCACAATTTCCCGAGGCACTTTATTCCAGTGTTTAACCACCCTGATGGTTAGGAAGTTTTTCCTAATGTCTAACCTAAACTTCTTTTGCTGCAATTTAAGCCCATTGCTTCTTGTCGTATCATTAGAGGTTGAGAATAATTTTTCTCCCTTCTCCTTGTAACATCCTTCTAGGGACGTGAAAACTACTATCACATGTAGACTGCAGAGTTTTATAAAGGGTTATGTAATGTGCTTCATGGGTGGTCTGAAAACAAATGTTAAGCAGCTATAATTCTGCCAGCCACCTTTCTCTACTTAGCAGGGAGGAACAGTCTTCTAGGCCCTCAATAAAGATATATCAGACAAACTGCTTTTGTCTGTATCTGATGTCATAGGAAAAAGATCAAAAGAATCCTTTTGTTTCAGCATGATCACACTAATGCTTTTAGAAATAATTAGAATTTATTTCAGTGTTTCAATTTATTTTAGTATTTACCCATTCTGACAGGAAGTTTTTCTTAATGTCCAGTCTAAATATTTTAGATATTTTAATTTGAAATTTCATGGTGTTTCCTCTAAGGTGCGTACCTGCGTGGCCATGCACAAAAAATTCTGAGCCTGCTCACGTCCTTTTCAGAGCCATACAGCAGCACTTACCTTCCTGGAAGTGAGTGGCGTGGCTGCCTCTGGGGCTGGGGCTGTGTTGGGAGGTGGCTGCCGCCAGGACCAAGGCCATATGGTGGGCAGCTAGTGCTGCCTGGGATTGGGGTTGTGGGGCTGGCGGGCGGCTGCTGCTGCTGGCAGTTTGG